CGAACAAAATGAAGATGCTAAAGCTATGTTTGCCAATGAAAACTGCTAGCTGTGGGATCTAACATAATAAATTAGGCGTATACCGAATGGGAGACGAAGGAGTGGAACTTAAAACATATCCATAGCGTGCGGGATCAGATAGCGCGGTACCAGGGCTGAAGCTCGGTAACTACACCTCCTATCCGCTCTGTAGTGTATATATCACTACGCATCAGTTAATACCAATCCTTGTTCCTCTATCTGGATAGTCTATCAATTACACGCTCTACTTACATAGACTGACACCCTGCTGTGAGGTACTTACCAGCGCCTAAATTATCAATAAGATAATTCAATTAATCGGTGACAGAATTTGGTTAGGTCTGTGGTCGAAATATCACACAAATAAAAAATCTTATTGGTTAATCATGAGGTAAACCTTAGTAATCGACCAAGAAAACAAAATGTTGACCCTCCCTCAAAGTTTGAGGTTATTTTTCACGTTTATTACTTTCGCTTACCTATACATGCAATATACAGTAAGGGGGAAATACTGTGATCGTGAAAATTTTCGAATCTGAGTTTTTCAACGGAAATACACGTTTTGAGGTTCACTGAGTCCACATAACCAAGTTCCGTAAAATGGTCTGTGTATGTGATATCAATCTAGCTCAAAAACAAAAAGTCGTACGAAAGTGAAATTGCATATGTAAGCCTTGTATATGGCTAAGATGTTATAGCAACTTTTTTTTTTTTTGTCACAATCGGCTAACTGAAAGTGGATCTTTATAGAATCTATTAAATACATTTTAAAGACTTTTTTTCAGATCCGTTACCTATCCTTCTTGACAAACGCCTTACCTGGAATCCTCATACTAGACTTAAAAGATAAGAAACTGCCAACAGATTCCGACTACAACACTTACTTGACAAACGCTTTAAACTTCCAATATTCCCAATATTCTACAAAAAAACTCATTTGCACTAACATCGTCAGGCCCATTTGGACATATGGTATTGAGTTTTGGGGTTCTACAAAAACATCAAATTGTTCCCGTATCCAATCCTCACAGTCCAAAATCCTAAATGCTCCTTATAATGTAACAAATAAAATTATCCACAAAGACCTCAACATTCCTCCTGTGGAAGACTTGGCCCGAACCAGATATACATCTTTTAATTCCAAACTCTTTGGTCATTCCAATCCTCTAGTTCACAACCTTTCATCCAATACAATTCCTCACAACCCTCCGAGGCGTCTGAAAAGAAGATGGCCAAGGGGCCTCCTAAATTAATTTATCTTTGAAGTGCTATCAATGGGGAGCTTCTTCACAAATACCTTCATGTTATATATTCCTATAACAGATATATTCGTTGTATATATATTTACAGTTGTAAATTTCAATACAATAATAATAAAAAAAAAAAAAAGATTTTCTCAAAAACGGCTTTAACGTTTTTCATTAAACTAGGTGTATGAATATATAATTAAGTGGTCTTTAATATCATTTAGATCTCTTCCCCATTGATGTCACTTTACAGGGCTTAAATGCCCAAAGTTCTACATGTCTTCCTCTAAAGTACCTTTAATTAGGTTTATTTTAAATAATTAACTATTTATCATTGATATTAATAATGAAAAAAGGCTAGATATAAGTTTTGAAATAATTTGATAATTGAATAAAGGAGAAAACTAAAAAAAATGCGTATTTAGCTCGACAAATGAATCTTCGGAAATAATAACCAGAAGGTATCCGTATAATATATCGTTGGAAAGCGGAGAATTAAAAAAATATATATCTAATATAGAATATAGTAGAAAGTAATGGAGAGTGAAGAAAAAAATATAAATAATAATTTCTGAAAACTTATTATTTAATGGATCACGTGCTTTCAAAGAAATTAAATGAAATGTAATGTAATCTTTTATAAATTTAAAATAAAAATTATTTAAAATCCACATAATCAAAGCAATGGCATTGTTTAAAAAACTACAAAATACAAACATATTTCAAGGATGTATAAAACATATGTGTATAACCTATAACCTTAAATACGTTTACTGTAGTTAAATAGTACTAGATTTGATATCATATTTAATAATTCGGTATCAACGTCCCTTTATTCCGAAAAATCGTCACGTAACCTTTTAGAAAATTAAATTAGTTTATAATTTGATGAATTTTCCCTTTGGGGGAATTACCCAATTAAAATTATTGTGATAACTTTTGACCTATCTATGGCAGGCAATGAAAATCTCGAAATTTCATTTTAGTAAACTTTACAATGGAAAATAACGTTTAATAACTAATTGGCGTACAATCCGTGATCATTTATAGGTTGAATATACAGATAAACATTCAAATCTCTCAAGGCATATACGTAGATATATAGCTCAGAGACTGGAGTTACGTGGTTTACAAAAACAGGTGGAGTACCGAGGTTTTTATTGTCTACCGTTTATATAATTAATAGGTTGTTTATAATAGTCTAAATGAATTGTTAGCTGTAAGCTTTAAGCTGTAGATCCGTAAAAAATGCACTACAAAAATTTTATATTAGGCCAACTTTGCCATTCAAAGTAGAGCGTTAAGTGAAAGTTGTGTGTTGCGCGCACCAGATTTTTTGATTCACGATAAAAATAAATCGAAATCGGACTATTATTAGTAAACAGGTTATTGTAATCAATAAACACGTTGAATTAAAACAAGATTTTTTTATATATATATTTGTATCTTATCCTCCAGTTTCATGGATGATTTGTCTTCCTCATTCATAAATGCTATTATATGAAGTTTTAAATTATTTTTTTCATTTCATGATGCGTTGCATTATTTTATGTTCTTATTATTTTGTTATTTGATTACTCACTAATATACAGTGAGATTTATTCGACAGGACTAAGTAGTATCTTATATTACAATAATTCAAGAGGTTTAAAAAATAAGAAAAAAAACTAGTACTAATAAAATAACTTCGATTTCATTCAGTGTTTTTTTCAAATACGAAAACACTTTATTTACAGTAATTTTAAGATTGAATAATCTAAAGAATATGGATTCCAAGCATTCTTTACGTAAGAACTACCTAAGGCTAGTCCTAACCGGTCACAGCGTTAAGTATCAAATAGAAAAATAAGAGGAAAAAAAAATAGTCGGCATATCGAATAACCAAAAGCCCTCAGAACTTTATTCTTCCCTTTTTCCATGTCACATGGGCAAAGAGAAAAGGAAATCGAACCAATATGCCCAGGAAATGGAGCTTAGGGAACCGTGTGACGCCGCCGAAAGAGGATTGAAGGCTGAAAGTACCGGCTTAATAAAAAGAGAAAAGAAAGATCTTAAGAATCCGCAGGCGAGGGTACACCCAGCAAGCCCCATTGTCGGCGACTATTCCATTACAATCGGCGATTACTGACACCCTTAGCCTTCATAGGGAGCGGGCTCTCCGGTTACAAAGGATTGGAAATCCACCTGAGGATATATCCAATACCTAGACTCTTACCCATATCTATCAGAAACAATTATTATAAATATGTCAATAATTCAACGCATGAGAAATTCTTGAATATCTAGGGTCCACAACATCTAAAATAAAAGAAACCACCAAACCTCAAACTCTAGAGAAATAACTGTCATTTGAGAAAGAGTTAATCCCTAATATTATCAGAACATAGCCATCCACTTGTGTACAAACAAAACGTAGAACAGGACATTTTTTGAAGATCATATAAGAGTTCAAATCTCAACGGTGCCCAGTAGGAAGTTTAACTCGGCATAATTCTCCGGACCGAGAAAAATCCCGTGTAGCCTAAAAGACAAAGAAGGGGAGAACAAGAAAAAAAAATCCTTAGGCACTCATAGAGGAGTATACTTATATAACAAACATTGAATAATACTTTTTTTATTTATTTTATTGAAACTATTTTATTGAGAAATATAACATTCTATCACAACATGTACAATGGTTATAGTGCGAAAAGAGATCATTCACAGCTATTTGCAGGAAATATAAATAAAATCAAATTGAAGCAAAATGAGAACTAAATAATGATCAAAAAGTGTATACAATAAATAAAAATAAAATAAACTTGAAGATAAGTAAAGTGCTCTCGCTCAATCTCCACTCGCTTCAGCACCAGTGAGGCGTTTGAGAGATTAGAGCTCAGGGATCTCCCGGAGTCCTGCTTTTCGATTCAGAGTTGGATGGACAAGCCTTCCTTGGAGTTCTCTCGCCTGATTTTAAATAGTGTATATAATAGATATGTCTGAGTTTTTTGTTTTTTCTTATTTACTTATCTTTAAATTATTTGATTTATATTTAAAGCATATACTTTTTTATTATTATTTAGTCGTTATTTCGATTCAGCTTATTTTATATTCCTATGTAAATATGATGTTACCACACGACAACTATTGTCCAATTGAGAGAATATTATGTTACTCAATAAATAAAGAGAAAGAAAAGATAAGTGAAGTAAAATAACACAACCATAACCATACACGATTGTATAGAAATTAACAATAAATAATTGTAAAAAGTAATATATCATTCTAAGTAGACTTATTATTTCATACGTACTATCTAATATTTTTAATAAGGTTTTTTTCTACTTGTGCCAACATTTAGCTGAACTATTTTGTATCAAAACAAAGTAATAGCAAGGCCTTTGGAATTGTCCATTTTAGAGAGACAATTTATCAATATAAGGAAATCAACCATTAGCAAAAGACCCCCTATTACATCCTAACAATGGCTGATAAAGATTGCTATACAAGTAGCATCTTCTCAGCAGGCATTTCCATAATATAGTAAATTAAATTAATTGCCCATAGGACTACCGATAGCAGCTCGCTAATATATAGCAGCAAGGCCTGAGCTTGTTAGCCGAGAGCTGGCTATATTTTTAATAGACGTCAAAAAGGATAAATGCCCCCGCAGTATATAGGCGGTGGCGGTAGCCTTTTGTTTTAATTAACATATCCTGTAGGTCCAATTATCCGATACATCCCCCTCCTTAATTAACCGGACGGCAAGATATTGTTCCTTACCGATCGGTAGATGGCAATCGCCCTGGGGCCCCCACGAACCCACAACTCCCTCAGGCTAAAGAATACCCCAACCTCCATCGTGTCGCCTCTATTAACGCCAACTACACCGTTAAGTCCTCGGTACCGTTCATTTACCTTCCACAGCTCTGGAAACAACATGGATATAAATAAGACCTTCATTTTTAAAATTTGTAACACAGAATATGAAGCAGGTACGCATGGAATAAATAAAACATATGAATTGAGGATCAGCATTTTTTCATAATTGGAGTTAAATGTATAACTGAATAAAGTTTTACAAAGAGCATACATGCTAACTGTTCAAGTATTTGCCTCCTATCATACATGGAGAAGTGACGAATCCCAATTTTCACCCTTAAATTTCTTCAACAACTTTAATAAAACTCATTAAAAAAATGGGGTAGTTATAAAATCGGATGGTCAAAGTCAACGAATTGAGATGGGACGAACTGTGTTTTTAAGATTTCGAAGCGTACATCAAGATTCGGTATAGTTCTAAAGGAACTATTGGACCCTGCGTTTTAAAGATCCAAAATATCCCGTTCTCGAAATAATTCTTGCCTCTAGGTGCAGTGCCGTCGCATGGACAAGGCGACCGGCGAGGTCAACTTCGATAAGAGTTAAAATCCATTTTTAATAGAGATAAACTTTTAAGTACATGTTTGTGAACTTTTACCGTATCTATAGATACAAAAATAGAGCATCAAAACAAATTATACATCAAAAATAGTTAAAAAGGAAGGAGATGGTCCGGGGTGGCGGTCATAAATAGATTGAATAGTGGCAAAACTATTTTATTAAAAGCCAACATTTCCACCCGGTTTTGCAGGTCTTCTTCAGGGCTAGAAAGGACAAGATACAGAAAGATAGAGAATTATGTAAGTTACATAATATTATGACAAAAAATTATAAACAATGTGAATAAGCTTATTAAAATTATAAACAGTAAGTGGCTTAAAATATAAACAGAGTAAGCTAAGTAACAAGATCCTGAACTGAAGTAAATAGATGGTAACAATTGTTGTAGTGTAATATATGATATATGCAAATGTGAATATACTTCTACAGATCTACAGAAGAGATTGAAAGATCTTGTTACTTAGCTTACTCAGTATATATTTTAATGCACATACTGTTTATAATTTTAATTCATAATAATATTACGTAACTTACATAATTCTCTATATTTTTGTCCGTTCTAGCCCTCAAGAAGACCTGCAAAGTCGGGTCGAAACGTTGGCTTTTAATAAAATAGTTTTGCCACTATTCAGCCTATTTATTACCACAAAATATAAGAGCATAATGGGTAAACATTAATCAAATAAATTTTGTACAACGTTACTTAATGTCTTTTTTAAATAAATGACGATTTTGTTAAATTATTTTTTTTGTTTTTCATTTATAACATGATTCAATCGATGGATGTATTTTCCTTATTTAAAAAAAACAACATTAAACTGGTTTAAGTAAAATTGATTTAATATGAATGTGCAAAACGTATACACTGAAAAGTTGAAAAAAAAATTTACTCAACAAAACAATTTCATATTGAATTACATTTAGGAAAGTGATTAATAAAGATAAAAAGATATAAGCCAACAAATATATATTTATAAGACTCAAAAATCATTAAATCAGAAGTCCAATTAAGTAAATTAAAGAAAACCTAGATAAGTTTATCATAAATAAAGGACCATTAAAAGCAGAGAATTCGGTCTCATGAATAATTAAATATAGATTTAGGACTGTCAGCTCACTTGTAAAAAAAAGAATTTGCGATCTGTTGAAATCCCAATAAACATTACTCCGAAGTGAATTGGCATTTTTTTTTGTTTTCATTCACAGAAATAATGATAAATAAAAGATGTTAAGGTGTTTAATAACAGGACTATTTATTGTTCATAAAACTCCATCACTCGGGGCTATGAAATGGAATGCTTCACACCGGACTTTGAACTAGTTACCCGCCGTCCACGTGACCATCGGCCAATCAGAATAACTCTTCCAAAGGACCTCTCCTCTGTATGGATACAACGGCCGTAAACAAGGCTTCTTCTTAATTGAAAACTAGTTACGCCGCCCCTTCCCATAACTTATGACACAACAGCCGCCAACTAAATTATTTATTTGTTAAATCATCCGGTCCCACTTCCCACAGATGGAAACTACCTACCGGGCAGGCCAGTTCATAACTGTATCTTTCTATAATTGTTTTTATTTATTTATTTTTTCTCACTCCTCATTTAATTTGAGTTCCTTCCTGGCTGCTTTTAACTTTTTTTTTTTAACTTATTAATAATAATAATAAACTCTTAATTTATTCGGGGACAAATCACTTTTGAACAAAACACATTAACAAAATTATGAATTTTTTTAAGTCTCCGAGTAACATAAAAAAAAAAAAAAAAAAAAAACTGATAAAAATAAGAAGAAATCTTGATATTAACAAATCGAAAACAAAAATGATACAAATATGAAATAATAAAAATAAAAACTTACAAATAATTTATACATATATATATATATATATATATATATATATATATATATATATATATATATATATATATATATATATATATATATATATATATATATATATATATATATACACAGGGTGTTTCGTAATTGCATGCACTAATTTAGGTATGTGTTCACTAACACAAAATAAACAAAAAAGTTCATATTAACATATATCTCAAACTCATTTATTAAACAGATATCAAAGGTTAAAGATTTATTATTTATTTACTACATTAAGACTGGCAGTACAAAGTTTAACGTGTTTAATACTAAATAACAGGTTTTAATCGCCTGATAAACAATTGAACGACAAGCACTGACAGGAGTTGCTCACCTGTTTGTACTATTTCTGTGTGTTTTAGCGTGAGTGAATACTGTGGCACATTTCAATTTATGATTATCATGGGAGACACCATAAGTTTATTCACTTTTGCAGAACAAACAGAGGTACTTATGGCGAGGTACATAGAAACGGTACTGCTGCTGTTCGAAAATATCGTGAAAAATTTCTTAACCGAAGAATACCCAATCGTAAAACGTTTGAGGCCATTGAAAGACGCCTTAGGGATAATGATACGCTAAAACATATAAGAGTAAACACTGGTCGACAAAGATTTCGACGTACTTGTGGATTTTTTGAAGTATCAGTCACATAAAAAAAAAAAAAAAAAAAAAAAACTGATAGATTAAAATAAGAAGAAATCTTAATATTAACAAATCGAAAAAATATGAAATAATAAATTATTTATATTCTATGCAATTTGCACCTGTGCCTCTGCACATCTAGCAAATTTGTTGTATTATATTGCCTGGCGTATTTTCTTGATTTTAATAATAAAAACATACAAATAATTTATATATATATATATATATATATATACATATATATATATATATAGTGGTTCACAACCACTTCGGTCACACTTGTTCATGGAGTGCCGAATGCATCCAGGTTTATCCAAAATACTGTTTTTGGTGTTTCATGAACAAGTGTGACACAGTTGTGAATCATGCCTAACTTGTGCAGTTCTCATCTAAATGTTATTATTTCTCTAATATTACTTTATATTTTATAATTTTTAGCCCTGATGATGACCCACATCTTTGGGTTGAACCGTCGGCTAATTGAATAAAGAAATTTTGACTGAATTTCTGACAATTTGGTTTCATCCTTAAATAATTAAATATATATCATCGGTTTATTGCAAAAAAATCATCATGTAATCATTATTCAGATTTAGTTTCCATAAGTTTTACTATACAGTACAATCCTTACTCATTTATAGAACAAATAAATCTTATAACAAATAATACAAACAAATCAACAGTCTTAGAGTATCTCTCTAACAGTCAAGAGCTTAACTAGTGCTTCTCCCTATCCTATATGATTTAAACAGTGACTTGAAGACTTTTCCGCTATTTTTTTTCACAATTACTTCGTTTCGTAATATCACATTAATATTACAATACAAAGTTATTTATGGTGATAGCAGTTATATAGTGAAAAAAGAAAAAAAAGGACGTGATAGAAGCAGCTGAGTTGGAGTAGTGGGGATAGCTAGCATCAGCCTAATCCTACCAGCCTTCACCCAAACAAACAGGTGCCTTTGTTGTTGTTGTTATTTCTTTCGTTTTCTCTCATTTTAAAGCAATTGTGACATATTTATCTATTTTATTTTTTCAAAATGGTTAATTGCAAACTATGCGAAAAAACGGCATGTAGAGAAAACAAGACTAAATTGACTTGTGTCACATGTCAAAACATCTTTCATGCTAAATGCACAAAAATTGATTTGACAGAATCAGAAGGCCTAAAAGAAGTCAGTAAAAAATGGAAGTGCACCGATTGCGAAACAGGGTCGCGTACATTGCCAGCCACTGAGCCTAATACTATGATAGACCTACTGAGGACTCTGGCCGAGGAAGTAAGGGAATTGAAGTCCAAGCTTCAGGGTTTAGACGAACTAAAGAAAATAAAAGAAACCCTCCAGAAGCAATCGGAATTATCTTTCGAGAATATGGAGCGATTATTAAAAATTGAAACACTCCTGGAAGAGCAAAAAATCCATACTGAAAAATTAACCATGGAAAATAACACATTGAAAACAAAAATATCCGAGCTGGAAAGCCGCCTGAATTCCACAGAACAGTTTCAACTGGAAATACAATTGAAATTAGAGGAATTCCGGAGAAGGCCGGCGAAACCGTAACTGGCACGATTCTTAGCGTCGGAGCGGGTCTGGGCGTCAAGTTGAGTCCGGACGATCTCGATCACGCCGTGAGACTAAGACCCAAGCAAGAAGGGACTCCAGGCCCAATTATAGTAAGATTCGTCAGACAAGCGGTGAGAGATGAGCTGGTGCGGTAACGAATAGCGAAGAGAGGTTTCTCTACATGCCATCTAGGCTGGGGAGAGAACGACTCGCACTGCGTCTACGTGAGTGAAGCCATGACGCCCACCAATAAACACCTTTATTGGTTAGCCAGGCAGAAGAAGGTGACAGCAAAAATAAGATACGTCTGGTTCAGTGGTAAAATTCGTTGCAGACAATCAGATGGAGGTCCAGTAGTAATTATAGAAAAAGCAAGTGATCTGGACGTTTTCAGCTGAACTTTGTATATCAGTAACCTTCAGCTTGCAATTAATTTACTTTCTCTCGCTAGAAATATATTTATTATATTTTTTTCATTTTCAGCTCTTGTTTTTTATTTTTGTATCAATTTTTACTCATCAGAAATATTATTTTAATTTTAAGCTTCTTTTATTTTTGTATAAATTATTTAGAACTTTATTCGATTCCTTGCCAATTTTTATCAATTTATCTAGACCAAGGAGAAATTTATATTTTCTTATGTTATAAATTAATTTTAACTAAATATTTATTTCGAAACACCGAAAATTTATTTTTTTCATCTCTAAGTTTATTTTATGTAGGCATTGTTTTTTTATATTTATAAACTTGAGATTATGCTTAAAAAATGCTATATCCTATCCTCCATCCTTGATCATTTTTTTTGTTTTCCGAAATCCTACTTCCCAACCCTCCAGTCATGACTATCTTGAATTCCTGTCACATCAGTGCACAATCCCTTACTGCACACTAGAATGAATTTCAGGAACATTTCCTTGATAATTTTTACCACATAATAGCAATATCCGAAACCTAGTTAAAACCTTTTATCCCTTACTCCCAGATTTCCCTACCCAATTATTCCTTTCTACTATTTAAACGGTATATATTATTGTAATAGTATAGAAAAGTAAAATTGTAAATAGTTACTACTGTAAATATGAACATAAATTATTAGAGCGTTCTTCATTATTTTTATTTCATGTTTATTTTCAATTTTTTATTTTTAACTGATCTAAATTAGTAAGTAACTTATAATTGTTTCTATTATTTTTTTTTTATTTTGACTGTTTAATTACTGTATATTTTTGTTTATGTATCTCTAAGGCTCCTTAGCCCATATTATTGTCTTTTTATAATTGGTAATTGGTTGACTGTCGTGGATAATGAAGAGAAGAATAGTTGGGGTGTTCAGTCAAAAAGGAAGGCAAATTATTGTCTTTTTATATTATTCTAAAGGGACTCGTCCCAGAATAAATAAAGCATTATTATTATTATTATTAAAAATATATAGATATACTTTCAAATCTCTCTTTGTATATAGAACTAACAGAGTTGAGTTATGTGTTTCAAAAAGGCAGAGGAATTTTTGAGGTTTTTAATTGCCTACTGCTGATATAATAAATAGGGTTTGAGTTATTAGTTTAATGGTGTTAATGAGTACTTATGATAAGCTGTAAGGTTTAAGAAATATTTCCATCAAAAATGCATTTCAAAAACTTTGTAATAGTCCAACTTTCCTGGAAAACATTTTCTGTTCAAAGTAGAGCAGTATGTGAAAGTTGTGTGATGTGCACACCAAATTTTTCAACCACATAATTTGAACAATCAACTGTATCTATATCTCTTTTTTTTATTCTTCGAACTTTAATTGTGAACTTATTGGTGCTGACGTTTCAACCCAAACATATTGGACATCATCAGGGCTCTGAATCGGTGTTTGGAGTATCTAGAGAGAGTATAGAATGAGTTGGAGAAGAAGATGGCGAATATGAAGAGTGCAAGCGGTGTAGAGCATGAGATGGACCAGGATGTTCTTCTTGATGTGTGTTGTGAGCATATGAAGAATTCATATCTCTGATGTGGTGGATTTCAGCGTGTATTCTTGATGTTGAAAGATGGTCCCAGTGATTTAATGAATTATTGAAGGAAGTTTATCAACTGTTCTACCAATTCAGAGCCCCGATGATGACCCACATGTTTGGGTTGAAACTTCGGCACCAATAAAAACTTTATAATGACTGCATCCTGAATATTTATCACCCATGATATGTAGAACAGTTATAAACTTCCTTCAATAATTTATTAAATCACTGAGATCATCTACCAACATCAAGAATACACGTCGTCAATAAAATCCAACAAACCAGAGATGTGAGTTCTTCATATGCTGACAACAACATCTCACAGCACACATCAAAAGAAACATGTCATCCTGACCCATCTCAAGCTCTAGACCGCTCACACTCAGCTTATTTGCCATCTTCTTCTCCAACTCATTCCGCTCTCTCTCAAGATACTTCGAACACCAATTCAGAGCCCTGATGATGACCCACATGTTTGGGTTGAAACGTCGGCACCAATAAAAACTTTATAATGACTGCGTCCTTGATATTTATCATCCATGATATGTAGAACAGTCGATAAGCTTCCTTAAATAATTCATTTAATTGTGACGATAAAGAGAACTCCTGAGTCATGGTTATATCATTACGACTATCTAATCAACACCTGATCAACTTTTAATTAATTAATCAATACTTATGCTTAAGAAATATAATTATATGGTTGTTTTTTTATAGTAAAATAAACATAAAACAAATATTACACATTGACATTCTTCAATATTTATGAGCATATACATAAATTAGAAAATTACAATATCATATTTTAATATATGTATATATTTGTTAACATTAATATCTAATATCGAGGAGAAAAACAAAATGTGAGTTTTAACATAGTGCCACATAAGTTAGCTTTCTGGCTGTCGATTAATCGCAGTGGAACTATTAGTTGATTACAACTGGACATTAGGTTAAATCATATTTGGTCATCATCATTACCTATCTTAAGTAACTCGAGGAGTAACTTCTTAGATATAAAATTACTGATGAAGAGTTATATTATATCTAATACAGAAAAAGTTATATTGCTTTCTCAAGAGTCAATTCCATTTGTATTTGTGCATACATGGCCTCCAATAAGGATTATACTTTAAAATAATTATTTAATTAATAATTCATTGATAAAAATAAGCATTAAATTGTTAAATTTAGTTTTTGTTAATATAAACTGCCTGAGATATGTATCATATGATTTGATAATCCAAAAGAGAGACCAAATGGAATCTTAGATTTATAGTAATACATAACATTAGATTTAGCGATTTGAATAGGGACTCAAAAACCATAAAATTTGGTTTTCGAAACATGTTCAACAAAATTTTATTATTATTTTTTCACCATGTAAAAAATATTAGAATAAAATTTCTGTACTTTTTCATAATGCAAATTTCATTAATTCATTCAAGCAGTTTTGATATCAATAAAGTGATTTTCTTATTGTGCCGAGTATATTTCTGGTGCCTGGTGTATGCCCAGTACCTGATGTATGAGTGAACTTACTACCTCCTATCCAGCAAAGTTTAAGTAGCTACTTCAGACATTCACAATATTGTTAGTTCCAAAAAAAAATTCAGACTATTTTTATTGATAAGACCTACCTGTTAGATGGCTTCCAGTGAATTCAAAGTCGTCGTCCTGATCCCAATGCTTCAGCGACAGGTTGTTTAAAGGTGTTGCATTAGCGAATTCAAGATTAGCAAAGTGCCAGTCCAAGATTTGTCTATCTTGACAAGAAAGATAAACATCACTGTAAAAAGAAATACAAAACATAAATAATAAAATGCTGGTCATAAACAAATTATACTACTTTATAGACATTTAATAGTAGTGAATTGGATGATTAATAATAAATATGGCCTTAATAAATCATCAATCAATGTTTGGGTAGAATGATAAACATGATAAAAGGAGTAAAACTTCTCGATAGTTGTTATTCGGTTCTCCAGAAAATAATGCAGGATTTTGAGTTTTCTTTAAAATACCCCTCTATATAACAAATTGTTTACATTCACAGGATTATTCGTTTATATAAATGTTAACACTTATTAATCCTCTTCCAAATGATAATGTTTGTTTACCTCTACAGCGAATTGCTACTTAGAAATAATTCAGTCTTTACTAAGATGTCAACGCGTGATTTTTGTATAATTTTGTTTTACAAGTTTACACTTGGCCGGAATGGGACCCAATTGGCCAGAAACATCAATCAAGTCTGAAGCGAGAGCAGTATTAATGAGTGCACTGTTCAAAGGTGGTTCAAAAAATTTCAGTAGGGAGATAACAAAGGTCATGGAAGGACTTCCTCTCTTGATGACCATATTCTGCGGGCTTCGGTGGAAGAAAAACCTATACTAAATGTTCGAGAATTTAACCTTAAGAAATCGACCATCTCAAGGCAATTGGAAAGGTAACAAAGTTCGAAAGTTGGGTTCTACACACATTAAACGACCACCAAAAATACCAACGTCATGAAGTTTGTGCTACACTTCTTTGCCAAAACAAAAATGAGCCTTTTCTGTCCAGATTGTTACTTCTGATGAAAAGTGGATACTTAGCGATAACAGTAGAAGTTCTGGACAGTGGTTCGACAAAGGAGAAGCAACAGAACATTTTCCAAAGCCCCCAACTCATCACGTGATGGTTACTGTTTGGTTTGATACACTACAGCTTCTTAATTCCTGGAGAAACTATCAATGCCAAATCATATTGTAACCAAATTAATGCAATTAATCAGAAATTGGCAAAAATTTGGTCAATCGGAAGGGCCCATTTTGTTGCATGACAGTGCCCGCCTGTGACATCACAAAAACTGTTGGAGCTTGGGTATGAAGCTCCTCTATATCCATCCTATGCTCCGGAGCTCTCGCTATTGGATTATTATTTTTTAGACACCTGAACCACTCCTTAAGTGACAACAAATTTAATGAACAAAGGGAATTAGAAAATGCATTTTTGGAGTTTATCAATTCTAAAGAGGGGGAATTCTATCCCAAGGGAATGGAAATGGAAAATATTGATAGTAGCGGAGACTATCCTGATTAAATAAAATAGTTGTAAATCTTTATTTTTTTTCATTTTTGCTTTTTAAACCAAAGTCCTGTACATTTTCCAGACAACCCAATACTTATTAATCTTTTTTCCAAGAATTAGAATTAATATAAATATTTAATATTCATAAGGGATTTTTGTCATTTTTTCCAAATCTTTTTCACTAAAACACAATGTATTTAAAAGATTACTGATAACATTTACACTTCAATAAGTACATGGGAATATTGTCGGTCCCTACTGCCTAATATATATTTAATAGGTCTATAAAATATGTTTATATTTTTTAGGGTAACACATGAATTAACACATTGCTAATTTATTGAAAAAAATCACTTAGAAACATTTCAGAAAATTACATCACCATGTAATTAAATGAATTTAGACTCTCAAAAATCAAGATATTATGGGCTTGATGTAACTATTCTTGACATGTACTAGAGCTTGTGTTACTCTTAAGCATGCACTCTTAATAAGTTTTTGCATCAATAAATATAATTAAAATTCATAAATACCCACTTAAAATGTTAGCTCCATCAAAATCGTACCTAGTGACTATTTCCAATGAAGTAATTATATATGCGAAATTTCATATATGTTAGTTTTTTAATTTAAATAGCAGAAAAGCTTGGATTGACCTGATGAAAATTAAAAAAAAAAAATGCTGAAACTAAATCAAAGGATCAGATATGTTACTTATATAATATATGTGTAAAAGAATCCATTAACTTATTTGTTTTTCAGGTATTCTTATGTGATCTCAAAGTTGGTTAAAACCAAATTTTCGACCTAATTAATTTTTGTGATGTTGATTGAATCTTTTAACAATCTTAAATTCAACATTAACTCTTTATACAAATAACTTGTGCTAATAGACATCAGTAATATAGATTATTACAATGGATAAAAAGTGAGTCCTCATATTTTTTTCAGTATTTTCATGACTATAAGGAAGTATATAAAAACAAAAGGTTTTTCAAATTTTTCGACTTTTAGTGATAATATAAGTTATCAACAGAAAAGTCATTACATAGTCAGAAACTAGATGTCATTACATTCTACCATGCCTGCAAATATATATTTCTACCTAAAGTTGATGTTAGATTCATATCAGAACATGAAATCTGTTTTATTAGTATTAACAAAACCTTAATTTTTAGCCCTTCATTTCTCTAAATTAGAAAACTAAATAAATAAATAAGAAATAAATTCAAATAAAAACATACCTCGGAGGTGAGTTTTCAAGATCTTTCAACTTTTCTGAGATTTCTTTCTCTTGATCTTTCAATTGATCCCACTCCTAAAACATAAAAATCAATTGTGTAATTGAAAATACATGACAATCGAGTGGTTGAAAACAAAATACTTAACATCATCGGCAAGGATTTGGCCAAGGACAAGCTTGACCACTATGTTTTATCTCTTTATTTAATTCAGGATACTCCTCCCGGACTCCTAAGATGGTCTCCCAATCCAAGGATCAATCCACAGCTAATAAACAGAATAAATAATTATCTGCCACAACTGGAATTGAACACAGGTCCACAAACACATGGCCATTGTGTCTTACTCCCTTAGCTAACGAGCCCAAATGATATTGATACTTAAAAATCAGTAATTAAAAATTAAGGAATAATTGGTAAAGGTATTAATAGAGAGGGAAGGGAAAAATGTTGAGACTGCCCAAGCTTTAATTTTAGCCTTGCACAAGGAGATTGCATTTCACAGTATAATCCAGTAATTAAGACTTTACGTAATTCAGTTACTCAGCTTTTGTAGTACAAGAGGATCATAATATTGTTTCATCACTTCTTAATGAAATAAGCTTCATAATATTTTTAGAGAAATGAATAAATAGCAAATATTCAGATTTTATTTCTAATGCAGTACGATAGTTTTCTAGAAGTAATAAGCTGTAGCGATTTGCTTTCTATTTAAAAGAAATAAATTTAATGACTTTCCATTGGTAAAGGTATCTATTACTCAGAATTAAAAGAAGTTATAGATTTTATAATAAGTTTTATGATGGATGCAATTACCCATATAGAACAACTTAACCTAATCTGCAAGGTGGAGAAAATATTGAATTTTTAAAGAAGTATACCATCATTTCTTTTGAAAAAAAATATAGTTCTCTTGGCTAATGATGTAGAAGGGTTAATTTTATTGAAATTCTCGACTTTATCACCATTCCAAAACCAAACTGATGCTAAAATGAGGAATCTCATCTAAAGGGATTTCAAGACTTTCAGAAAATAACAAAAAATCTGGCATTAATTATAGACTTTTGAGCAAAAATAACTGAATGAAGATTTGATCAGCTATTATCAATACATTAAATACAATTGCTGGTATTGGTTAGTATAGATTTATGAGAATAAAAATTCATGAGTTTCACTACTGAAATCAAGAATATAGAAAAAGATAAATTCACTTTGCTTTCAACAAGAAAATTGCTATCAACAATTTACTAATAACCAACAAAATAATTTTCAATATTTAAGATAGAATCCAAAAAATTAATACAGAGAATTTAAGAAGTGCCTAATTAGTGCTTTAGTATCTTTTGCTAGACATAAATGTGTGAACAAATATTCATCATGAACATTATTAAAAACAGATTGAAAACTAAATAACTGATGAAGAAATTAAATACAAAAATTGAGTAGTAATTGAATAATATTACTTATTAAAATAAAAAACAACCACTACACACCATATAAATAGAAAAAATCTGGTGTGTGCAACACACAATTTTCACTTACCGCTCAACTTTGAATAGAAATTATTTTTCAGCCATGTTGGACTATTATATTTGTTTTAATATTGTGTAATTGAATTGAAAATTTTTGAATTGTATTTTTAACAGAGCTAAAGCTAAAAGTTTACAGCTAACAAATCATAAATACCATTAAAATAACAAAAGTCGTATTTATTATATCACCAGTTGATTATGGATTGTGCAACTATTAGTTATTAAACATTTATTTTCCATTGCATAGTTTACTAAAATGGAATTCAGAGATATGCATTGTCTGTCATAATCAGGTCAAAAGTTGTCACACTAATTGTAAGTTGATACTGTTAGAATATCACAAAGGGAAAATTTATCAAATTATTCACTAATTTAATTTTCTAAAAAGTAACATGACGATTTTTCAGAATAAACGGACGATAGATACCTAATTATTTAAATATAATATCAGATCTAGAGTTATTAAACTACAGTACATATATTTAAAGTTATAAACAAAACATATCCATGAAATATTTTTATATTTCACATCCTCTTTCAAGCAAGTACAATGAAATAGTAACTTAAACAATGTCATTTCCTTGAATCCGTGGATTTTAAATACTTTTTCGAACTTAAAAATATTTTAAAAGTTTAGATTTAGTTAGTAAATTCCATTTAATTTCCTTGAAAACGTGTGACTTACGTTAAATAATATTAGTTTTCAAAAATTATTATTTATAATTTTTTGTTACTCTCAGTTACCTTCTACAACTTTCTATATTAGTTATTGTTTTTTCTAAAATTCTCCGTTTTCCAACTTATATGTATACCTTCTGACTAGTATTTCCGGAGATTCATTTTCGACTTGGATAAGAATTTTTATATTTTTCTTCTTTATTCGGTTATTAAATTCTTTCAAAAGTTACATTTATTTATTTATTTCTTTTTAAAGTTACATGGGTATTTTTTCGTAATTCTTAATAATAAGAGATAGTTAATTATTTAAAATAAACCATATTAAAGGTACTTTAGAGGAAGACTTATATGAACATTGGGTATTTAAGCCCTGTAAAGTGACATCAACAGAGATAAGACCTTATAGATATTGAAGACCACTTTATTATACAATGATACACCGAGCTTAATCAAAATCGTTAGAGCCGTTTTTGAGAAAATTGTAAAAATGTGTTTCATCGTTGATATTAAGTGGCACTTCCGGTAAGCCAATTTTAAGGAAAAAATTGCTGTCACATCTAAGGTATATACTATCTTAAATGTGTAATATCAGTTTCATACGACTTTTCGTTTTTGAGCTAGACAGTTAACATACACACACACACAGACCATTTTGTGGGACTTGGTTATTTGGACTCAGGGTACCTCAAAATGTGTATTTCCGTTGAAAACTAAAATTTTCACGACCACAATACTTTCCCTTACTATATATTACATACATAGGTAAATGAAAGTAAAAATGTCTATTACTTGAATTATTATAACTAATTTTTTACTATTACTAAAATGTTTATAATTTATATTTGAATTATCCATAAATAATTAATGTATAAGTAATAACTACACTAGACAACAACAATAAATGCAGATAAAATTGTTTCAGGTGGAAATGGCAAATTTTTATTCCATTTTTGTAATAAAAATCTAATTTGACCTTTCAAAAGTTTAGCAAGCTCTTATTTCGAAGATATTACATAATTAAAGAACATATATTTATTTTTTGAGTTGAATTGGTAATTTTGTTTGTGCAGTTGGCAAACCTACCTGCAACATGTATTATTTCTCAATGTTTGTTAGGTTTTGGCACACTGTGAGATTGTTGAGAGCCAGTGATACTTTCTTAATTTTCAAAAATCATATACACAAAGTGTGAAAATACCTTGCAAGTGCGTTAATAGTATTGTCAATGTTTTCTATAAATATGGTTGAGATGCACTCTATGCTCAAAAGCCACTTTTATCTCAGACAATAAATACAGCCTACTTTCATTACTATAAGAAATGCACAATCAAAAAGAAACCATTTCGAAGATAGTAAATAAACTATTTTACTGACAATATGAACATTTTAAATTTTGATTTTCTTTTATTTAATAATCTAACTAATTGTGACATAAATGTCTTTATTTGTATTACATTAAGTTAAATATCTAAACATTATTTCTTTTTATGGATATTGTAATTTTGTGTATACTAAAAGCCATATATCAATAAAACAGGAGCTAAGAAACAGTTCTGTCTATTACATTATTTTTCTTAACCAATGAACAATCAAAATTATCTATTTTCAGTTTGGAAGCAAAAAAATGATCAACTTTATATATATATATATATATATATATATATATATATATTTGTAAGCTAGTGTTATCAACCACTCAATAATTTATATTAAAAAATCATTTACCAAAATGTAAAAAGTATTAATCTTATAAAATTTTCACCACACATAATGATGAAATTGTCTCTTTAGTTTAAAGTTTGCAGATCTGTGGTTTATTTACTATATTATTACATATTTTACTATTAAATTATATTTAATTAGTTAAATAAAGAACATTATTACATAATGTTTAATGACAAACCAACGATAAAAATTTAGACAGTTTTCTGAAAAGACATGCTTACCTTGCAGGCTACATTTATTTCTCTCAATTTATGGCGTACACTGAATTCATGAGCAATATTTCTGGGTCCTTTCACTTCTTGCATACCTTTATATTGTTTGTTAAGATCAACAATATGATCTTTGAGTGTGATTAACTGAAACACATAATTAAATAATAATATTGATAGAACAGTCAATAAAATTGAAATGGTAAACCTAAACTAAATCAAGTACTATTAATACTAATTCAATCTAAAAATGATTTTTAAAAAATTATAATTTATTTAAATTTTCCAAATTATTCAAAAAATAGATTGAAAACAAAAATAATTGAAAATATTAAGTCTATTTTTGAAACTAAATTTTTACAATATAAAAGTTTGGATGTAGTTAAAATCTTCGAATACTCCAAAATTCATTAAATTTTGGTCAGAAAGGCTGTACTCTTCTCAGATTAGTACTATGTGATGAGCCATGTACAAAAATACCAAACGAGCATTTCTCATAGGAGGAATTATTGATTGGGATGCATATAGAGATAAACCAAACAAACAAGGAGTGCTCTCTATTCCAATGTCACTAAAGAACAAAGATGAAGTTGAAGAAGCTGTGGATAAATTTACAAACAGTATTCTTCTTCTTCTTTGTCTTCCTCACAATGCCATTTCTAGCCTGGAGGAACCTCTATCCAGCGCAGCCATCCTTCCCGCTCTCCACTTAACAGCTTCATTTGGTTGAAGGATTTGCCTCTTCTACCTCCTATCCTCTCCATGAACTCCTGATATGAGACTCTGGGACGCCCTCGTGGCCTCTTCCCTGTGGGTCGAGCCTCTAATATCTTTATAGGGTCCTCGTTCATGCGGCAGATATGTCCAAACCACCTTAACTGCCTGTTCTCCAAGGTGGTTTTGAGTTCAGGCACTTCCAGCTGTTCTCTGATACTTTCATTTCTAATGCGATTCCTCCTAGTTTCGCCCACCGATCTACGTAGGAATCGCATTTCCGCTGCTGTTATGCGACCATAATGTTTGTCCAACATAGTCCAACTTTTTCTGCCGTAGGTGAGAATAGGAAGGTATACAGACTTATAGACGTGCATCTTGGTATTCTTATCCACTTCACGGCAGCTGAGGATACTGCTAGCGATCTGGTGACATACTTGATTTGTCTTAGATATTCTATACGAAATCTCAGCATCTATCTTACCAGCGTTAGTAATTATGGTACCTAAGTATGTGTACTCCTTTACTACCTCAAGAATCTCTCCGTTGCAAACCAATTGGAGGTCTTCCTCTTCTTCTCTTAATCATCACTTTACTTTTGGAGACATTTATTAGCATACCTTTCCTCAGCAGCTCTTCCTCCCATTCTACCTTGCTGTAGTTTCATCTTGGAATCGGCGATGAGCACAATGTCTTTCGCATATAAAAAGCTCTGTACGAGAACAATTCTCATATTCCAGTTTCCAATTGTAGTCCATGCAATCCGACGCTTGCAGATTTTATGGATCTCGTCCATAAAGTTTATAAACAGGAGGGGGCTTAAACCGTCTCCCTGTCTGACTCCTCTCACAATTGGGAAAGGTTCTGATTCTGTGCCATTTATCCTTACCACTCCAGTGGCTCCCTGGTAGGTTGATTTCACGGCCTCAATAAAATCTCCAGGCATGCCCTTGGCAACCAAAGCATTCCAAATTTCTTTCCTAGGAACTGAGTCAAACACTGCGCTTAGATCAAGAAATGCCAGGTACAGGTTTTTGTTTCTGTCCCAGGCCTTTTCAACGATGGTTCTAAGAACAAAGATATGGTCCTGAGTCTGCCAGCCAGGATGGAAACCAGCCTGTTCCCCTTCCAGCTGTCCCTCCACAATCCACCAGAGCCTCCTTTCTAATATAATTTATAGGCCACAGAGAGCAGACTGATGGGTCTATAGTTATTGCAGTCCGTCGAGCTGCCTTTTTTATGAATTGGAAGGATTATGCTATATTCCCTATCCTTGGGAATTTTCTTTCTATCATATACTTCCTGAAAGAGCTTTTGCAGGACTTTAAGGAGTTCATTTCCATCATATTTCAAACATTCTGGAGCGATAACATCCCTTTCCGGTGCCTTTTCTGCTTTTAGAGTCTGGATTGCGTCTTTTATTTCTTCTTCTTCTATTACCTCTAGGCTTTCTAGAGTAGAGTGCTCTCGTTCTTGGCAGTGACATATTGCTGGATTTTTGGAGAATCGTTCCTGAAAATGTTGTTTCCATCTGTTAAGAATCTCTTCTTTGTCGGTAAGCAGGGATCCATCGCTATCCTATACATTTCTGACGGGCTTGTTTTTCTTTCCTCTTAAAAATTTAATTTTTCGCCAAAAAGTTATTATGGATTCACGATGGTCTTCACTCAGTTTTTACCGAAATCCTCCCACGAACGTTTCTTGGCCTGGCTAACGGCTGTCTTGCATTCATTCCTGGCTGTTCGGTAGTTTTGTAGCTTTTGCTCGTTTCTAAAAGAGTGGCTTCCAACTTATCCTCAGTGCATAAGAGATTTGATCAGGACTAAGAGAGAAGTATGCAAAGTATGACAAACTGGATGATTGTCAACTGACAAACGAACTTTCAATAGACTTAACCATGAACTTTATCAACAGATTCAAGTTTTAAAACTACAATTTACTAAAAACTACCTCAAAAACCTTTCAACTGAAAATGGGAGCTCATGGAGGCATACAAAAGAAGATTGTAAAGCAACGTGAAGTGTCTTCACCTCTCAGAAAGAAATATGGTTTCTAGGCCGTGTCAGAGATAAAAAAATCTGAGCTACTAGCCATTCATTTTTCTTATATTTATTCTATTTTTACACCACATACTGATTTCACTAATATAGAACACGAAAAACAAGTAATCAACATTTTAGTCATTCCACTAAAATAGGAATTACCTTCATCTTGCTTCACTCCGAAACTAGCTGCAGAACAAGTTAGACAATTACCTAAAAATAAAACCCCTGGCCAAACCTGATAACTGCTCAATTGCTCCAGAAAATACCAAGGAAAGCTCAAGTTTACCAAACACCTATTTACAATGTGATTCTAAGAACTACTAAATTCTCTATACAATAGAAATACTCATAATTACAATAATCTACAAAGCCAACAAGGACAAATACACCCCTTCATCATATAGGCCCATTAACCTGTTCCCAATATATCCTAAAATCTTTGAGAGACTACTCTACAAAAGACTTATTTACATACTGACAAATGACGAAATAATATCTGACCACCAATTTGGATTCTGACCACACCATTCAACCATTCAAATACACAGGGTGACTGACTAAATTACAAAGGCACTAAAGCAGAAATTGTATGCAACAGGATTCTTTTCAAATTTAAGACGACATTTCCTCCTATTATCTTATTCTTCAGTCCTTTCTTTCTGACAGATTCTACTCTGTTTGCCAGAGTTCAGAACTTACTTCAATTAGACCAACCTCAGCAAGAGTTCCTCAGGAGCCAGTTCTCACTCCGCTTTTATATATACACAACATTCCTAACAGTGCCAGAACTATTAAAGCGATTTATGCAGACCATACGATTCCAACTCTTGTATAAAAATTCTACACATACCACACAGACTTTAGAACAACATCTAAGAAAACTAAATGATTGGTGTAAACTTCATAAAATTCAACTCAACCAAGACAAATCCTAACACATTACTTTCACACTCTGACATGAAACCTCCCCTCCTATTTACCTCAACAATGGCGAAATTCCTTAAACAGATAAAGTACAGTATCCTGGACTGACATTTGTCAGAAAAATAACATAGGGTCCACATATCAACAAAAAAAGAAAAATGTTAAACCTCAGACTACGACTATTATACTCGCTACTTCCAATAAATACTCTCAAAGTTAAACCTAAAACAAAAACTGTACACTTACATTTACCAACTTAGAGCTATATGGACCTATGCTTCACAGATATACGGAACAGCCAAAATGCCTAATAATAAAATAATAAATAATAATAAAATAGGTAGATTTTATTAATCTACCAATTGTAAAGTAGGATATTTCATCAAGCAATTTATTTTTGAGGCCCAGATATGTAATAATACAACCCTATTATTTTAGGCAACATATAATGTACTCATAATAAGAAGTGCCTGGAGATCAATCTGGCTGTCACTTTGCTGATGATCTCTGGTTCTAACTGAGCTAACAATGTGCTCTTGTTTTCATACAGCCTTTAAATTAGTTACTGTCCGTTGTCCTACTTTCATTGATAAAGTGTGTTTTACAGCTTCCAAAAATATTATGAATTCAAAATAAAACTAATAAAGTGAATGATAGCTACCTTATTATATAATGAAACAATTTAAATTTTAAATGACTTTCATCATACATCACTGACTGAAACCTCCCTCCAAAATAAAAAATAATGTTTTTTTTCATAGGTTTAAATATGTTTCTGTGAGTGATCTAAGATAAATACTTAAACATGTAATTATATTGCATCTATTTCAGCTACTAGATTGAAGCACATGTCCAGAAAAAATTTATCCTAGAAGCATAATTGTTTTCAGGCATTATTATTTATTTTTGACAGGCCTTCACTTAAACATAATATTATATAGTTTCTTTCTTTTTCTTCCAGTGTAATTAATGTCAATAAAAATCCTGTGTCCGCTTCTTATACATCAATGTGAATGTTTTGATAAAAAGTACAGATTAGTTATAGATAAAAAGTAAAACTAAACTGCCATAAGATTTACATCATTGATGTTCGAGTCACAGCCATCCATTCTGTAGGCCCTTCTACCTTTTGATATTTTCCAATAATATGCCCAGCACTTAGTTTTAACGTTTTTCTTCACCTTTTATTATAGATGTGAAAACAGTTCCAGATAAGTTACAAATTGAATTATATTTAAAAACAACACAATTTCAAGAAATAAATTTCAAAATTTTGACAAAAAGCATTTATTAAAAATAAGATTAATTTAGAAAAATGTCTACGAAAAGTAAGGAAACAGGACTAAAACACTAATTGTTACTAAAATTCAATTATTGTCATTTACTAATTTATTAAAATATTTTTTAAAAAATTGTTTTATATTATTATTTGATTATATGATTCATTGATATACATATATATAAAAAAAGATATGTTAGTTAGTTCCTAAAAGAGGTGGGTTCTAAATCGAAATTTTATAAAAACATTCAAATTTCTGCATAATGTAAAAATCATCAACATTAAAGCATTGAGCAAGAAAATAAGATCCGAACTTTTAGTTCAAAGTTAGCAGTCTTTAAATTCATACAATATGATAGCTATCATTCACAATATTTGTTTTTTTTATACAGCTGTAACTGAAATTCAAATAATAATCAATTGGAAAGCTGTGAAAAACGTTTTAGCAACTAACATAGGACCAAACCTAATTTAAAAGACAGCTTAGGAGTGAAAGCATTTAGTTACCATGAACAGAACTAGAGTTCACTAGTATGGCGACAGCCAGAGCAGTCTCCAGACACTCCTCTTAAAATATTTCTGACGGGACTTATGCCCCAGAATAATAAAGAAATTTTTCATTTCATTACATGACTAAGAAAAGAATGACATAACAATATAATGTACATGAGTTTTGAAAAATGATAGAATATAGGCTAACATAAAAAAACACAGCTGAACCAGGAAAACAGAATTTTTACATGAAGGAGAGGTAAGAAGAAGCCTCAGTAAAAGGGCGGTCCCTCCATGCCTGGTGATGAAATTAAGGCCCAAGGCCACAGAAAGTATCTTATGCTTACCGCATAATCTTACAATACCCTTACCTTACCTTAAAATACCCTTGGGTAAGCAAAGATTCAATGAATATTGTGTATATACATTTATTAGTTAGCTGTATATTGTAATTAGTTTTAAATAAAGTTTCTGGGGGGGTCAGAAAAAAAAAAGCGTCAGTGATCAAGAATAAGAAAAAGAACTGGGAGAACATTTAAAACCAACATGAAGGGTAAAACCATGGCCAAATGAACAAATATAAATAAATGTAAATTACAGTTGCATATAGCAAAAAAAATCAACATAAGTTAATAAAATATAAAAAAATTACCTGGTTTTGGTTTTTAATTAATTTTTCTTGTAAATTTACAACATTAGTATAATGAGCAACTTGTTTTTCTTTGACATTTTTTTCTTGGAGCCTAGAAGAACAAAAATTATTTGAATATGTATTTGATTTTAAGAAAATGTCAACAAAAAGTAATTATATTATAGGATAATAATAATAATAATAAAAGGCTTAGCGAACCCGAAGGTTCGATGCCGACAACACCACCAATCGCTTATTACACACCTCCCTCCACCGTTCGCCGTCCAAACCCAGTCCCTTCAGATCGGCTTTAATGCAATCTTCCCACCTTCGCTTCGGTCTACCCCTCGGACGCTTATCATTCGGCACAGCAAATATTAACCTTTTAGGAATTCTCTCATCACTAAGCCCAACAACTTTACAAGTCCATTTGATTCGCCGCGATGAAATTACCTCAATTATATTACCCGAATACAGTTCACGCAATTCGGCATCGTGTAACCATCTGAACTCTCCGGTTAACTCATCCTTCTTTGGTCCGAATATTCTACGCAATACTTTATTTTCAAAAACCTTAAGATGCTGCTCATCCCTTAATGTAAGCGGCCAAGTTTCGCATCCATAAAGAACTGTAGGCAAGATAATTGTTTTATAGATTCTAATTTTTAAGTTCCGGGACAAGAGGCGCGAACTAAGTAGTTTTGTCACAGAAAAATAACAAGCATAATCCAGCACGGATGTTGTCCCGTCCAGATCCAACCCTTTCTCGGTACGCATTACCTCCCTAATGGCATGTTCTAATGCCAAATTGAACAGGACAGGCGAAAGGGAATCCCCCTGTTTTAAACCCGAACGAACTCAAATTTTTCGGACAGATAATTACCGATTCTAACTTTATTGAGTGCCTCCGTCAAGCACATCCTCACTAGATTTACTAGTTTTTTTGGAATCCCCTGCTCGATTAGAATATTATACAGTTTCTGGCGGTCAATAGAATCGTAAGCCTTTTTAAAATCTGTATACAGCTGGTGAACAATACCGTTGTACTCCAATTTTTTCTCTAATATTTGCCGTAAAGAAAATATTTGATCAATAGTCAAACGATTCCGTCTAAATCCGATTCGAAAAAAATCTGTCATTTTAAAGATTAACTTAATTGGATAAATTGGTGCATTGAAATATGAAACTACATTTATTTATTCTAGAACAGTAAGAATAATGTAAGAGTAAATGATATAATGATTAGAATAATTCTACCGTTATTGTTTAATAATATACAACTAAATATTGCAAATGAAATAAAAATAATAGTATAAAATTATTATTTTTGAGAACCCCTAACCAACAAAGATTTAAATATCATGTAAGGTTAGATTTAAATTTAAAACTAAGATACCTAGTTCTGCCATAAATACTGTTATAAAAGTTGAATTTTGTTAACATCATTGGGTATAATTTAGATAATCCTTACCTCTATCAGGTTATTTTCTTACATGTCAGCATAATAATCCCAATTAGTTTGTATTTTTCTTTCGCTCAGTTAACATGGAGTGGTATGATAAAGAAAAACGAATAGCTGCGAGTTGGAAAACAAGTTGGAACTAAAAAGTTTGAACAAAGTTGGAAAAAGTAGGTCAGAGATTTTCAACACTTTGAAACCTTTGGGTATCAACCATATGTTCATGTACCACACTATAAACAGATATAATGAGAACCTATCTGTATGTGACAGACTTCGAGCCGTCCCTGCACTGTGAAAACGGCAAATGCAGTGAGAGCAGTGGCTGCTCGATTCAGAAGAAATCCCATTCGAAAACAACAAATCATGTCTCCGGAAATGAGAATTTCTGTCAGATCAATGTCTCGCATAATAAACACCACCTCGAACTGACCTTAGGATGGTTGCATTTCAAAGAATGACAGGACAAAGGCTAACCACTTTCCAAAAAAATTCGAGTGGATAGATGCAAAGTGCTCCTTGGCCATTACACCATTGGTCTTCATCAAAAGACTTTGTTTAGCAATGAGTGTACGCACACAGCTCTAAAGAAGCCCAGAAAGTCATTGGAAGAGTGGAAAGAGGTCACCACACTTCCTCAGTGATGGTTTGGTGGGGAGTTTGCTTTGATGGCACCACAAAGCTCCATTTTTGTGAAAAAGAAGTTAAAACAGCTGCTAAAAACTATCAGGAAGATATTCTGGAACCTGTTGTCAAGCCTCTAAATGACACTTTGTTTGCTAGACATCATTGGGTTTTGCAGCAGGATTCCGCTCCAGCTCACTAGAACAGGTCAACTCGTGGTTGCAAAAGAACATTCCATAGTTCATCTCTGCCTCTGATCAGCCCTCAGGAACCCCTGATCTCAACCCACTAGACTATCGGCTTTGTTCCAAACTGGAGGGGATGGCATGCCACAGACCACACCCTAACTTCGAAAGCCTCAAACCATCTCTGGTCCCAGCAGTTGAGCGCTTTCCTCAAGAAGTGCTGCGTGCTGCTATTGATGACTGGCCATGGAGATTAAATGATTGTGTCAAGGCAAAAGCAGGACATTTTGAGTAATTTATTTTTTGTTTTACTCTCTCTATATATACATTTTATTTTCTAATAATGTTTTTGAAAAAATTAATTTCTGTTGAAATATGTATTTAATTCCTTGTAACAATATTTATGACAGGACTAGGTATATAAAGAGAAGGGTTTAGTATAAAAAGACAGAGAATATTGAGAGTTATGAATGGAATAGAAATTTATAAGGACATAGTACAGGAAAAGAAGGAATTGTCAAATCCATCAGTTCTATCAAAAGGAATGTAAAGGCCAAAAGGGGTGAGATAGTGTATTATAAAAGCAAATTTTCGATTTGAATTAAAGAAGTTAAAAGATATATAAGGTGGGTGATAGGATTGGATAAGACATGTGAAGGAAATAAAAAAGTATTCGCAGCAGTAGTTAGGGAAAAGCCAGTGCAACTCATTGCATTGTGAAATGTGTGTATTGATTTAGATTACAAAAACATATCGTAGATTACAATTCATTAATCAATTTAGGAAGATTATGGGAGTTGTGGAACTCTACCAAAATGAAAATAGATCGAAAGAATATTTCCAATATTCCTTTGGACCATATCCAGTAATCATGGCTATGGACATAGTTTAGCAAATGCTATTATATTACTATGTTAAGAGTTAATTATATTAATACCTTGCGACTTTTAACAGCAAGATATATGAAGGAAAAGTGTATTTGGCAGTCGTTAGCGGTGAATGTAGTAGAATAAGTGGTGAATGTAGAAAAAAAAACACATTTAGGTATGCCATTTATATAGATGAAGATAATAGGGAGGAAAGGAATTATGAGTAATGCCAAAAGGATCCCTTCAAAATATTATCAATCCATTGAGAAAAAGTAGGGCTGCAAACATTAAATATCATTTAACTTAATTTGGCCTGAAACGTCAGCTAATATCAAAATAAATACCATTTATTTATTTTTACTTTGTATTTTAACTGAAAACCTCAACCAACTTCTCTTCCATTAAATATCATTGCTGGATAGAGAAAGGAGTTGGAGCTTGGACAGAAGAATTAAGGATACATGTTGGTCATCTATAGCAAAATAAAAACCTTAGGTAATTTAAGGACAATTGACTAAGAGGGGAAACAATCTTCTTACTAGCAAAACCTAAATATATCATTTACAGTACTATATTTTTGTAATATATACTCACTTTATGACCCACTCAAGAGCTTGCCCAAGAGATACTGGTTTACCACCACAATAGTTGAAATCAAGCATATGAGATAGATAACTAGTTGCCTCAAGGAGTCGATTAAACTCAATTTCAACCATTTCATCTTTTTCTTTGGGAATCTAAACAAAATTTTATAAAAATATAATTAAAAACATAATAGAAAACTAATAATAAAGAGAGAATCAAAATTTGTTAATTCTTGATTTCAAAAATTTATAAGATTAGCTACCAAAAGTATTAACTGAAAGAGAAAACTATCATAAATGCCATTATAAAAGGAAATTCAGTTTGCTCTCAATAACTTAATTTTTTTGTAATCCCTTAATAAAAAGAAATCTCATTGATAAATAACAGAAAAAGAAAAAAAAAATGGGAGAAATTACTTGGAAGTCAAATAAATGAACTATTTATTTAACCCAGCAACTTAAATGCATGTAGTCCGTTAAAATAAACATAAACCTTTTTTTAAATTTCTTATATCAAAATTCATTAAGTGATAGGTGTACAATTTATCAAATTGCAATACTTGTTTTCTGTAACCAGATTTTCTTTTATGACTCATGTACAGCAAATGGAAATATTATCTCCACAAGTAACAAGTATTACTCAAATTAATAGGGTGTATAAAAAAAATATGACCGTTTTATCGAATTCAAGATTTTAAAGGACTGTAAATATTTTTATTCTATTTAATATTTATCAATACTTAATAATCTCTTTAAAGAATTCTCTAAGCTTGTTTAATCCCATTTGACTTCTTCAAAAATAGCCTCAGTTTAGTTATTTGTTTCAAAGAAGAAACATGAGTGTCCTACAAAATTTTCATAATTTTAAGGCATTACTGGAAAAAAAAAATGTATAGCCTATGAAGTAACTTGTGAAATTATTAAATATGAAGGGGAAAGTGTTCTGGACCAGCACACTGCACGGCTTGGTTTGAAAAATTTAGCAGTAGAGATACGACGTTGGAAAGGAAGAAGGGTTCTGGCCAACCATTAATGGATATTGATGAGGTTCTGTATGAAGCTGCTGAGTCAAATCCGTCCACTAGTAATCGTAAACTTGCCAGGAAATGTGGTGTATCAAAACAGATAGTCTCCATCAACTCTCCATGAGGAAGGTGAAAAATACAGTAGACTGATCTCTCACGAACTTACTCCTCTGCGATCAGCTAATAGGTTAGAAATTTGTAAAAATTTATTGAAAAACCCTTCTCATATCAGATTTTACTGGAAGATTGCCTGCCACCTGTGATGAAAAGTGCGTTTACTGGCAAAATCCGAATATCTGTGAGCAATAGCTAGATCGCGATCAAATTCTTTTCCAGTTGCTGCAAGAGGTCAATTTGAAAAAAAAATCCATGCTTTGTGTTTTTGGAATTTTGAAGATGTTATTCAACACGAATTTGTTCCTGATGAATGTTCTATGAATTCTGAGCTTTACTGTGGACAACTGCAAAGATTCTATGCAAAGTTGTCAGATTGTTATCATGCTTTGATCAACTGAAAAGGAATTTTATTCCAACAAGATAAAGCTCATGCTCACACTTCCTGTCGAACCAAAGAAAAGTTTAAAGAACTTCATGAGCTCGAACCTCATCTACCATATAGTCCAGACCTCACACCATCGGATTACTACTTATTTAGATCCACGGCGCATTTTCTTCAAGGGAAAAAATTTGATAATTTAGCGGTGGACCAAGAGTTCTTTGACAGCCATTCCCAAGAATGTTATCAGCATGAGATCGAGCAATTGCCTAGCATATGGCTAATGACAATAGATAACAATGGACTATACTATGAGTATTAATTATATCAAAGAAATAATAATACAAATATTTGGTTGAAAAACGGTAATTTTTTTTTTTTTATACACTGTTATTTTCAACTCAAACTATCCACAGACCAATATACCTCAGTGAGAACTCTTACATGAAATGGCTATCCCTTCCTAATGCATTAAACTTTTAAGCAACATTAGCCAAACATGTTTATTCGTATAAACAATATAATGTTGAAGCTTCACACTTTGCCTAAATTGCTAAAGTTTAACAATTTATTTAGTTAGTGATTAGCTTATGATTTCAAGGGATTGTAATAGCTCAAGATCTATTTGTTTAATTCAGAAGAACCTTGGTTTGTAGTTATCTCACTTACAAAGAGTATAGAAGTCTATTACTGAATACAAAAGCCGTGCCTGGATATTGTTTTTTTTTTTATTTATTAAATATATCAAAAAGTTTCTTTCTATATTATGCAAATTGTCCAAACACAGAGCCACAGAGCTATTTTCCTCCATCTATCTTTTCATGGGTGATAAATATTCAGGACGCAGTCTTTTTTAAAAATTTTTTTATTTTTGCCAACGTTTCAACCTAAACATGTGGGTCATCTTCAGGGCATGGTTTGAGCACTGAGGTTGTTCATGTACTCGATATCTGTATCTTTTCAATACAGATTATGTATATACTGTATATACTTCAGATTATGTATATACTGTATCTTTTCGAATCGGTATCTTTTCGATAGATTTATAGTTCATCAAAGACTAAAATTAAGAGAAATATTTTCATTTTAAAAAGCTGAACATGTAATAAAGTATCTTTATGAAACTATCAACTTTAATCAAACTTGAAAAGATTTATGAATTCTGATACTAATCTATCATTTTCTTTATAAGTTTGAAAATTAAATAATACAACTTCAATTTAGGTAGCAACTGTTTTAATTTTAAAGCTTCATCATAATGTTATTACAAATATAATTATGCTATTTATTTATATAGTAACTAATTTACTCATATTTGTTTTGTCTTGAGATCTAAAAATTGATTTCTTATTACTAGTTTTATTTTTCCTCTGCCATCATTTTTCTTTAAAAGTTATATTGGAGATCTACCAATATTTGATCAACTAAGATAAACAACAAAATATTTCTGAAAAAAAAATAGCTAAAAAATAAATCACTTACTGTCTTTCCACTGGAATCATACAATGGACATTTTTGGCGTATTTTATGGAGCTCCATACTGATCTGTTTCGAAAGTACATTAACAGGATTCCCACCAAGACCGGTAACAACCATAGCACCAAGATCAGCAATATAGCTAGCCTTTCTAAAAGTGGCAATTCTTCCGCCAACACGATCCTAAATTCATAAAACTTTCACATTATATCAATTGATACACCAATTGTTCCAAAAAAATGCTAAATCAATAAATTACCCTTGCTTCTAAAACTACAACTTCCATGCCAAACTGTTGCATTTGTTGAGCAGCAGCCAGACCAGCAATGCCAGCACCAATAACTATGACACGTCCGTATTTTTTAACTGGTAGTGGCTGTAAAAATATCAAAATATTGAAAATAATATAACACCTTAAGATGATGAACATTATATCTATGTTCATCTTGAATTTTAGAAAAACTTCCTGATTGAATAATCTTTATAGCCATTTTAATTAAGTTGTAGTGTTTAACAGAATAAGATTAGAGTTGCCTCTAGTTCTGTACAGAAAAAAGTTTGATATGAAAATCTGTCTCATCCTTTGGTACTACCTGTATTTTCAGCAAAAATAATTAAAATAAATAAGTATAAAGCTTTTTTATCTGTATTTCCATGACCTGGTATGTATTGTAGTACATTAATTACTAAAATACACTCATTATTTACAAAAAATATGTAAAATAAAATATTTAAATATATTATTTAAAAATAATAAAATAAACATAATTTTCTCATTATTTACAAGGTATCCTATACAAATCTTAATAGGTTCAGATTTTTTGTATTACCAATTATAAACCATAAGGTTATTTAGAAAAATAATTAATTAAAAATTGAAATAACTTACTTTTAAACGTTTGAAAACACCAAAGTTGATAAGACCATGTCGCTCCAGGTATGAATGAATCCTATGAACCAACTGAACATCTGTATTGTATGGAGGCTCTATCTGACCTAAAGCATTCTCAATTATCAGCTGTTCTTTCGGTTTCTCGATCCATAACTGAAGCTAAAATTTAAATCAAAATGTTTTTAATAAACAAAAAATAATAATAAACATAATAAAAAGATCTAGATTAGGTATAATTATTTTGTTGAATTTATATTTTAAAAATTAAAATTACTATTATGACTGAAATCATCTTATTATCCATATGAAATAATGATGAATAATCATAATAATAATGATGAAATAATCATCTGTGTTACATCCAAAGAAAATATATCCCCCTTGTTGACTTTGAACAAGCCAGAAAAAATATTAAAATTTTTCATGTAACAAGATTGGTATACTATAACTCTATGTTTTGAGGAACCAAGGCAAAAACCTATAAGAGTGCAAAGCAATAAATGTCAGTCTTGCGGTCTCCTCCCAGTGAGTCGAGCTTCCATCACTTTCTAAAGTTCTCTTTCTCCCTCCATCAGACAAATGAGGCCAAACGACTTCAGTTGTCGATTTTCAAGTGTGGCCTTTAGTTCTACCACCACCAGCTCCAGATGTTGCAGATAGAGTAATAAACCTGGTTGGCTTTGGAATCCATTTACTACTTCTGGGTCAATCCTCCCTATATTGTTAATGACTGTCCCCAAATAAATTCCTGTACAACCTTGAGTACATCTCCATTACAGGTCAGTTTTTTTTTTTTTTTTTTATTTGATATTCCCCTAACCACCATTTCTGGTATACGGAGGAGAGTTGTTCTAGAGATACAATCAAATCTATTCAAATCAGAGTGGGAGGATCGAGTTTTATTCTGTGGGTCCGCCACGAAATAATAGTAAACACATCTCAGGTCGCATTGGAACCTACGTCACTAGGCACGAGAATGCTAAACTGGGCAGCTTCTGGAGGTGTTGATAGCTATTACTTTGCAGAGGAGCCCTTCCTGCCATTCCACAAGGGTCTGTTGCAGCTTGTTTCTAGTATCTGCTATCATTACAATGTCATCGGTAAACAACAGGCTCACAACATCTTCAAAACCTACAATCCACATCCTGATATCCTTAATCCGATTGACCTTGAATGTATTGAAGCAGATTCCTTTCCAAATGACTCCTCCACTTAAAGCATTTCATCCTTCATAAATACCCATATCATTTACAGATTACCCTCCCGCAAAGCTCCTGGCCATGAGCTAATCACATCCCAGATCTTAAAACTGCATCCTCAGAAATTTTTCTCTTCCTTATTTACATATATAATGCTGTACTCTAATCTACGTATTTTCCTGACACTTGGAGAGTATCTATTGTCAAATTTGGGTTTGCCAAAAAGATACACAAACCCAAAAAGCCACCTGAATATCCTTCCTCTTACCATCCTATTTCTCTATTATTCATTTCATTGGAGCGCAGAATGTACTGTCTTTCTTTAATTTACAGTCTTTCTCGACGTTGATCAGGCATTTGATCGATTCTGACACCTGGGATTCCTGTAGAAACTCCATAAATTCCTAGCCACTACATACTTTTCATCATTTGTTCCTATTTTATTGACAAATACTTCAAAGTAAATCACAATAATATTTGTTCATCTCTCTTAGCTCAGTCTACAGGTGTTCTTCTGGTTAGTATACTCGGTCCCATTCTCTACACAGTTCGAATCCAGACACTGTTATCACCACCTACATTGATGACACATATTTACTATATGTTAATAATGACCCTTTAATTGCATATCACGAATCTTGAAAAATGGTGTCAAAACTGGAGGATAAAAATAGATTCCAATAAAACCCATCAAATCACCTTTACCCTCCATCGTAAACCTACAACTTCTTGAACTTCATTTGGACAAACCCCTTGGATCCGCATACAAGACTAAAAAGACAAGAAACTGCAAGACATTTACAGCTGCTCCAACACTTACAAGTCAAACAGTCTAAACTTTCAATTAATTACAAAACGTTATTGTGTGACTTTAATAAGGACCTATATGGACATACAGATTTGGGGCTCCACCAAACTTTCGAATTCCTATCACATCCAATCCTTACAATCCAAAATCCTTAATGCTCCATATTTTGTCACAAGTAAAATCATTCCTAAAGACCTTAATGTTTCATATGTCGTTGATTTAGCACGATCCAGATGTCAACCCATTCATGATAAACTACAATCCCATTCTTATTTACTTATTGTTAATATATCCATGTATGGCTTACTACACTGATCTGGAAATAAAGAATATAAAAAAAAAGTCCCATCCAAACCCACTTGTATCCAGTGTTGCTTCTTCCACGATTCATGATAATTCTCCTAGGTGTTTGAAAAGATGGCCTCATGATCTTCTTACTTATAACTATTTATGGAGTGTTACCATTGGGTAGTATCTCCAAAAGTCTGTTCCTGTCATTATTCCTGATTGTTCACGTTTATTGAATGTATTTCTTTAATACAGTTATAAATTTCAATAAATAAATTTTAAAATCTGGTGTGCACATCACATGACTTTTACTTACAACCGTCTTCTTAGCAAAAATAAGTATTTTCAGACAAAGAGGAAGTGAAAGTAAAAATTATAAATGCTATATTTATTTATATTTCATTGTGAGTATTTTTATTTGTGTAAGTACCTTTATATATACAAATTTTAATTTTTGATATCACTGTAGTCTATACAATTAAATATTAAATAATACCAACGATAGCATTTATGAAAACCATATATGAACATAATATTGTCGGGGTCTGTATTATATGATAGGTGTGGAAGCCTCTTCTAATCTTTCCGGCGAGCTCGGGTGCGCACGTATTCCTTAGGTTCCACCATTACAACTATTATCCGTTACATCTCTTATTTCTCCTTTAGTTAATTATCATATTCTTTCATATTTTATATTTATCTGTTTTTTATATCAGATATTAATGTGAAATGGTTAATTATTTGAATAAAAAAAAATAAAGGACTTAAGAGGAAGCTAATATTGGAAATTAGCCATTTGAGCCCTGTTAGAGAATGTCAAGGAGAATAAAATCTACATTATATTAAAAACTGCTTAATTTTACTCTGATATAATGACTTTGATCAAAATCATTAGCCATTTTAAAAAAAATTGTAAAAATGAATCGAAGAAAAAGTGCCACTTCCAGTTAGCCGATTTTGATGAAAAAGTTGCTCTAACATCCGAGGTTTAACAAACCTTAAATACACAATTTCACTTTCGTACGACTTTTCGTTTTTGATATACAGTAGAATAAATGTTTTATATCTATCTGTTCATTTTCTACTTTCTTGGAGTAAAATAGTTTGTTAAATTATTTTGTTTTCAAGATCTCACATAATGTACACAACCGAAGTTTCTCTAAATCTAAAAAAAGTGATTTATGAAAAAAATGTTTACTGTTATCATAGTAATACGCTTTCTTGAAAACAACTGACATAAATTATATGATAATTAGAAACACTTGACTTAGTAAGTAATTCAGAACTGCAAAGAACACTAAATTGCAGTAAAATTTTAAAAGGGATTGCTAATTATTTATTTATTCCTTCTCATAGAACTGTTTCCTTTAAAAATCCTTCGTCATACATGCTACCTCGTTTTGGAATTTCCTACCAACCTCTTTATGGAAACCCTTATTCCTCACCTCATTTAAACATAATTTATTTTTCCACCTCCTCAGTAATCAATCTTCCGAATATATGTAAAATAAAGTTATTTTGTACTTCAGAGATGTCAGTTACACTCTACCGATATCTTGCAGATATCTAAGTACGTGTCATATTGCTTATTTGTATAAATAAGTGAGCTCACCCGTATGTAATCATTTAAATTTAAATTCATATATCTACTTCAGGATCATATGTTTACTACAGTGTCCTTATTTTTAATATTAAGAATGTTTATTATTATGAAAAAATTACATGCTTCTTTATTTTAATATTAAGATTGGACACCTTTGTAAAGTAATTTATTTTTAATTGCCATTTAATTAATCACAATCGCCAGACAATTGTTAATTCTCTGTACATTGTAGTTATTCTGAGGGGACTAAATGTCCCAGAATAAAATTTACTTTATTTCTTTCTTTCTAATTATAAAAATAAAGTAACAAATTAAATTTACCAGTCTGTTTCGAATGACAACAAACATTTTAACTGAGGCAGGCTTGTCATTAGAAATATCAGGAAAACAGGATGCTTCAGCTGCTGTCATTTTATCAGCAGGTAGCCGACTTTGGTATGCTGCACCTTCAGGACCTTAAAAAAAAAAAAAGATCTTAGAAAACAGAAATTCCAAATAGAAACTGGTACGTGAAAATAATTTGAAATAATATCTGGCTCAAAGCTAAAATTTAAGAAATATTAATTAGAAAATATAACTTTGGTAAAGAGACAGTAGAGCACAATGCCAAAATTTAAAAGTGACAATTTAAAATGATACAACATAATCTGAAACATTAAAATATAGCAGCTATATTATGAAAATTTTTGAGCATTTGGTCTGGATAGTTTGTGTCAATAACATTTGTCTCTGTAAAGTTTAATCGTATGGTGCAGTAATTATTCACTGTTTATATATTGTAGTGACAGTAAAAACATTACAGCAGTGGTTCTAACCTTACTGTTTTTGACCACATTTCTGCCAGTGCTATTTTAATGGAGAAGAGGCATAAGCTTTTCTCAAACATCACTCTCTATCGAGAGATCTAACAATGACGACTACGTTACGCCTCCAGGTAGTGAAAACACCATTACAAACCACCCACTGATGCCTTGGGTGGTTGCGATATAGTACCATTTTGGCCCAAAGAATTCAAGAAATGCTCGTATGCCTCATAACTACTAAGTAGCAACTATGGCTTTACTACCATATTTTGTCTGTGCATCCGAGACAATAGAGTGATGACAATTAAAGTCTGCTGAAAACTGTTCACATTTTTTTTTATTGGGTTACATATTAAGAGACAAATACAGGGTGTCTACCGACATCTTTTAATACTTTTGGTAAATAAATGATTTCATGACATCACCTCCAGGCTAAGAGATATAATTAAAGAGACAGTTTTAAAATTAAAAAGAAAAAGAAATGTTGACCCATTTAAAAATGAAATACACCTTTTGAAAGGTATAAGTCTATTGAAAATAACTACCACTATCTTCAAGGTAAATAAATAAGAATTTACAGAGGAGAGTGTTTAGGTTCAACAAATTTTAACACACCTGTAGGATCCTCTTGTTCAGAATCTGGTTCCCCTTCTTCTTCTTTTTCACTTTTTATAGGAGTATTATTTGTGGAATTAGGAACAGAATTGACATCACTAGTACTTCCTTCTCCCTAAATTAAAATATCAAAACAAATAACCTCATTAATCTTAAGAAAAACAAATTGCCTGTGGTAATGTTACACAGAAAATATCAGTAAATATTACCAGAATAATATGTGATTTTTATTAAAATAATTTCACCCTCTTATCAATAGCATTTGGTGCGTACTAACAAAAATTATACCTATGTCAAAATTAAAAATACAATAAAGAATATATTGCTGGACTTTATCGCTCTATATGCTCTCCAACTTGTAAATGTCTGAAAGAAGGGCAAGTTATTTACATGTTACAACTTTTGGTCAAGTAATGGACTATCACAAAATAAACATTAACCTAAATATATAACAGACCAAACTTGAACTAACACTCTTTTGGTATCAGCTTCCTTACATGTAGTGCAAATACACCCAGCTACAAAATACTTCACTAAAATGTGAATAATAACTTTTAATAAGAAACTATACATGAGAAAATTAAAATTCCTAAATAGGTAAAAAAGAAAAAAATGGAGAGTATTTCAAAGTTATTTTACTTGTACATGTTTTAAGATTATAATGCTTGTTCTGAGTATAAGAATAAATTCACAAAAATAATATTATCTATACTGACCAATCCATTCAACCTAATATAAAAAAATATTAAAAAGACAAAACTTGAAATAAAAATTTAACTGAAATTGAGGACTATAATTAATCACCTATTCAAAACTATATAATTTAATAACAAGCCATTCTAAAAGGTAATAAGAATAAATAAATTATTTTTAACTTTTTTTTTTGCTTAGCGATTCCCAATTTCTGAAATTAAAAAAAAAAAAAAAAAATAGATTATAAAATAAATAAATTATTCTAAACAATATTCTTAGAGATTCAGCAACCTTTTTTTAAAAAAAATAGCCATTTAAAATTCAAATTTTAAAGAGTAATGATATGTCTTGACATTATTTTATCAATCACAAAAAATATTGTTTTCATATTCTGGCATGCATTTCTAACAAACTAAAGGCATCTAGCCTCTACTCCCATAAGTAAAAAATATATTTAAAAATTAATAAACAAAAAGTTACAGTAATAGGTGATGACTGTTTTTCAATCTTTGCCTTGTCAGAACCAGTATTAGATGTTTCTCCATCTTCATAAAACATCTGAATATTTTCACCAGGAAATTCTCCGCTTGCCTCAGTCTAAGAAAAAAGTCAATTTAATTAAATAAGTAAAATGTATTTTAAAAAATTGATTTATTTCACATTGTGTTCAGACATTCACTTTAATTATTGAAATCTAATACCAGCGAGTAAATCAATTTAGATGAATTTGTCTTAAAAACTGTTAAATTATAAGATATCCTAAAAAGCTTTCTTCTTAGAGCTGTATGCCTTAAAAACCTCATTAAAAAATAAATTATTAACTTCCAATTCATACCATGTAAAATAAAATACATATAACTAGCAATAGTATTTAAATCCAGGAATCATAAATATCAACAAGGCGAAATTATGAAGGTAATGTTTGATAAATTATGAAACTAAGTGGGTTAAATTTTAAGGATAGATTAAGAAAACGAAAAAGACCTAAAAAAAGACAAAATAATGGAATGACTGGATGTAGCAAAAGTGTCTTGGAATACAGATCGGGATAGAATTGTCACAGGAAAGATAGAGTCGAAGCTGCTGGAAGAGGCCAGAATTTCATCTCAGGCTATAAAATTAAAATAACAACAGATAGTGACAGAATGAATATGTTTTAAGATTTAGAAAAGGTAAAAATAAAAGCCCAAAAACGTCATTGCAGTTTCTAATAGCATTAAGTATTTCTTTCATCCTAGTAATAAACTACTGATAAAAAATGTACTGATACTTAATGTGAATGAAACGAACATTCAAGAGACACATTTATTTACCTTGAGTGGTAAGAAGAAAAAAATCCTACTAAGAAAATTTGGCAAGAAGTAAAAATGTTTTAATTAAGTACAAACATTACAATATTAAAATTAAATTTTATATCATTTTTCCACATATTCTAACCTTAAATTTCAATAAATTATCAAACAGTAATTTCTTAAACGATAGGATAGTAAATATCTGGTAATTTTTTTTCCAGTGGCATACAATTTAATTTAATCATACTAACAATTAAAAAGCATAATCTTTTATGCATACAAAATGAAAAACAAAATTAATAGATAAAATAACAAATATTAAAATAAGTGATAAAGAAGTAAAACTTCTTTTTAAAGAATATAAAATAAGTCATATAGTTGATCAAGAAAGCAGTGGGAAGCCGATAAGGTTCCTTTAAGGTGTGTTTAAGACATTTCACCAACTATGCGACAAACATATCAATGGTTATTTCACAATGCTAGTATTTTTGTTTCTTGTTTTTGATATTTTCCATCTGCTGTAAGTATAAAGAGAAATAAAATAAATAGTTTGGTTGAGCAATAATGTCGTTGTTAATTAAGTTGGATAATTGTGTTTCCCATAGTTTGTGAAATGTATGAACGCACCTTAAAGATCAGCATTATTGAATTAAGTTAATTAATTGATTCGCAACATATAAATCCAAATAGCGAAAAATTAAAAATGTTTGGAAAATTGTTGTGAATACCTATACATAAACTGTAATTACATTTAATATACAATATTACACGAACTGAGAGCCGTTAAAACTATGGAATTTCAATTTATAAGAATACATAGCGAATTTAGCTGTATTAATATTTACTCACAATTTACAATTATAATTTATAATATCACAAGTAAAAATAAATATAATGTTTGATTCCTAATGTACATGTGAAAAAAGTCGTTGAATTCATTAACCAGTTACAAAACATTTGTTCACTAACATAAAATGCTGTAAATACACATGAATTTCGCATTCACGGTGAACCTTAATTCCATATATCAAAGGTGTTTGATCGGTAGCGTAAATAACAGCCCCTAATCCTGTCCAAGTGGCGCAAAAGATCTAGTAAAGGAATAAAACAATTTAAAGATAAGATTAAGATAGTTGAATTTATTGAAAACTCGATCCATTTTAAATCACATTCATTGGACAATTGGACCTCCTGCAAAAAGAGAAGATGGGATATGGTTTTAAGGTTATTTCGGAAAATCTCTAAGTGAAGATTGAGGGGATATCCAGTCAAATGATTGGTGAAAATAGGGGAAGCCGCTATTGAGGAGTGGAATCGACGGTGGGAAACTACACCGATAGTCTAGTAAAGTTAGGGAGAAACAGCCTTACCCCAACATTAAAAAAATAAAGATGAAACTTGTCTGAAATTATTTATTACCCTCTCCATAAGAACTGGTAAAGAATCCCGCTTCGGGTTTTGATGAGGACAGAAAAATTTTATTTGTTTGGTTTTTTAAGAATATCTCAAAAACTGTGTGGTTTTTCGCAACATTTTTTCAGTATAGTATTAAAGTACTTTGAAATCTCTATAAAAAAGATCCTATACATTTTTTTGCCAAAATTAATGGTTATGGAGATATTTATGAGATTATATTTATTGTATTTCCACTTAACGCGAAAATTGCTTCAAACCACAAAATATTGTTAATAGTAGACGATACCATTTTGAAGTTTAGTTAGTTTTTGTTTTTTTTAACATTTTCGATAGTTCAACTTACTATCCACAGTATCTTTCTTTTAATGATACTAAAAAGTCATTGATAACAGAATTATATTCGATATCAAACAATGGGGGATTTCGTGATAATGATATGAAGTTGAGATTTACATTAATTTCATATAATTCATAAACTGTGACAGAAGACATTGGAACTTATAAAAATTTATCAGGAACCATGGTCTGATTACATACAGCGAACCAGATAACTTAAATTTCGTAATTTTAAGCCAACCACGTTTTATGTTGAATAAAAAGCAATAACTGAAAAAATATTTAATTTGCTATGAAGTAATTGGTTGTAGCAATATTTTTAAATATCAAATTAAATATTTGTTTTCAGTTATTGCTTTTTATTCAACATAAAATGTGGTTGACTAAAATTACAAAATTTAACTTTTCTGGTTCTCTATATGTTATCAGACAATGGTTTATGGTAAATGTTTATAGGTTTAAATGTCTTCAATTACATATTATCAATTATATGAAATTAATGTCAATCTAAACTTTAATAACATAAATTATTTGGTATGAAGCAATTTTTGCTTCAAGTGGAAATATAATCTCATAAATATATCTCCATAATCATTGATTTTACACAAAAAAATGTATAGGATCATCTTTATAGAGATTTTAAAATATTTTAATATTATCAGTATAATTTGTTCTGTTTAATTTGTATCAGACTATTGTTCAGTAACAATCTGGGCGAAAAAACATTATAGTTTTTGAGATATTCTTAAAAAACTAAACAAATATAATTTTTCTGTCCTCCACCTCCCTCCATCAAAACCCGACATGGGATTCTTTGGGACTTTTTACTAGTTATTATAGGGAGGGAAATAAACAATTTCTGACAAGTTTCATCTTTATTTTTTTAATGTTGGGGGTCAATCCCTAATTTTACTGGACTATGAAAGGTACTAGCTAACTTGAGGAATTAATTCTCGAACGCTCATTCATGGTTGGAAGTCAAATGGGGTCCTCCATGACTACTGAATTTCGCATTTTTTCACCGGACAATGGAAATGCCGCGCCAATCTTGGTGACTTCAGTAAAGAGGATATTTAAACGCCTATTGTTATGGAAGCCCGTGTAGAAATATGTGGCACATTTTACACAAGTTTTACTTATTTCAAACAATAATGTCATAACAAAAGACTTGGAATTTAAGAGGAAGCTGTTAATATAAGATATAGATATCTGTCGATCACACCTCGATAAACTTCTTAAATATAAAAGTTGTTGATTATAGATATTCGGAGAATATTCTTTTATTTTTTAATGACTAACAATTGGTTACATCAGAGTACTATTTTGATATCTTTTTTGGACCTGTATATATATATATATATATATATATATATATATATATATATATATATATATATATATATATATATGCCCGAATCTGGGCAGAATTTATTTGAAAAATATTCCCGGAATAAATCCCTAAATAAACCTCGATATGGATTAAATCCGAAAAGTTACAAAAAGGCGACGCTGGAGGGTGGGGGGCGAGGCGCAATCTCAAATTTGACCCTATTTTCATAATAAGCTACCCCGAAAACATAATAGTCGATCCTGTTATCGATTATTTCAGAAAAGTTGATGTGAGAGGGTGTGGGGGAGGGATCTCAAATTGGTCATTATTTTTATAATAAGCGCCCCCGAAAACATAACAGTCGACCCGGATATTGGTTATATCTGAAAAGTCGATCAGAATGATTATTTCACAACATTATTTCCGAAATAATTTATTTCATGAAATAACGTGACCATTATTTCCGAAATGATTATTTTGGGAATAAATTATTTCAGGAATAACGATATCTGAAATGATTATTTCAGAAATAATGTTGTGAAATAATCATTCTGATCGACTTTTCAGATATAACCAATATCCGGGTCGACTGTTATGTTTTCGGGGGCGCTTATTATAAAAATAATGACCAATTTGAGATTGCCCCCCCCACACCCTCTCACATAAACTTTTCTGAAATAATCGATAACAGGGTCGACTATTATGTTTTCGGGGTAGCTTATTATGAAAATAGGATCAAATTTGAGATTGCGCCTCGCCCCCCACCCTCCAGCGTCGCCTTTTTGTAACTTTTCGGATTTAATCCATATCAGCGTCGACTATTATGTTTTCGGGGCCGCTTTTTATGAAAATACGATCGAATTTGAGATTGCGCCCCACCATCCCTCCCCCAATCGACTTTTAGTAACCTTTCGGATTTAATCGATATCAGGGTCGCCTATTATGTTTTCGGGGAAGCTTATTATGAAAATTCGGTCGAATTTGAGATTGCGCCCCACCACCCCTCCCCTAAACGACTTTTAGTAACCTTTCGGATTTAATCGATATCAGGGTCGCCTATTATGTTTTCGGGATAGCTTATATGAAAATATGGTCGAATTTGAGTTGCACCCCCCTCCCTCGACTTTTTGTCAGATCTGAGATTGCGCTCTTCCACCCTCCCACATCAGCTTTTTGTAGCTTTTTGGATTTAATCGATATCAAAAAATGGTCGAATTTCAAAA